GTAGAATAAAAGTTTTTAAAATGAAATATCATTTGGAGTCTTCCTTTCCATATGGCACACTCAGTTTGGTGGTCCCCATTTAAAATAATTGCAGGACTTATGGAAAAGCTGTTCTCTTCTTCCGGCTTCTTTGTGAGCAGGGGGAAGAAGTTGGTCCAGCGCTCAGTGGGGCTGCTGTGGGGCCCTCTTTACACACTGCGCTTTGTTAAATGTGTTCGAAGTTCAGATTTGCAGGAAGTCAGATTTGCGGGAAGTCAGTTAACACCAAAGTATGAGGAGCAAAACATAATGATTCTTGTGACTCTATGGGCAGAATAGTAGGTCATTCCCAAATGCGTATGTATGGGTTTTTAAGCAGTATTAAATTGAGGCGAAGGGTAGAGATGGCATTTTTAAATTATAATCTTTTCTTAAAAATTTTATTTAGTTATTTTTCAAGTACAGTTTTTTTGTCTATTTCTCCCATCCCAGCCTCTCCTGCCCCTTGCTCCCCACCTCCCTCCCATTTCCACCCCCCTTAGTTCTCGTCCCTGTGTCCTTCCTATTTGTTCCTCCAAATCCCTCCCCCTTTTCCCCTTAACTTCCCTTCCCTCTCCCCTCTGGTCACTGTCCTCTTGTTCTCTATTTCAGTGTCTTTGTTTTTTTTTTTTTTTCTGCTTGCTTGTTTATTTTGTTGTTTAGCTTCCTGTTAAAGGTGAGATCATATGGTATTTGTCTTTCAACACCTGGCCTATTTCACTCAGCATATTGCTTTCCAGTTCCATCCATGTTGTTGCAAAGGGTAGTAGCTCCTTCTTTCTCTCTGCTGCATAGAATTCCATTGTGTATATGTACCACAATTTTTTGATCCATTCATTTACTGATGGGCACCTAGGTTGCTTCCAACTCTTGGCTATTGTAAATTGTGCTGCTATGAACATTGTGGTGCATAGGTTCTTTGATATTGATGTTTTAGGATTCTTAGGATATAATCCTAGCAGTGGAATTGTTGGGTCAAAAGGCAGATCGATTTTTATTTTTTCATCTCCATTAAAAAATAAATAAAACTTCAGGGCCTGACAGTTCCACTATTCAGTTTATTCAGGGGACAGTTAATCTGGGGCAATGTGATCTCAGGCATGGGCAAAGGTAAAATGTTATCCATGTCCTTTAATAATTAAACTAAACTGTGATTCTAACATACTCCAGCAAGGTACAAAATATGAGCTAATGTTCTCATCATTCAGTTTATAAAACCCTAATCCTCTGAGATACTCTATCCAAACTAAGAACTTTGGCTGCTATGTTCGATTAATCCTATAAAAATTCCACTCTTAGAGCTGTGATAAACACAAACTTGTTAACAATATCTGAAAAGTCTTTGCTAAATAAAATATGCTTAACTCAGAGTTTTGAAATGTCTTTGAACTTTGTGTCTGGTTAACATCTTCTGCCAGATTGGCTTTTCAAGGAATGTATATTGAGATACGAGACTACAGGCCAAGATCCCTTTAAAAAGATGGATATAACAATCCTACAGCAATAAACTGCCAATAAAAATCAAAACCACGTTTTCATTAAAAACAAAACAAATATTAAACAAGCAGGAAAAAAAACTTAATAGTAATTACCTCAAAGGTAGATAGGTGTGTGTTAATTTATTAACTTCTCACTTACATATTTATTATTTATCTTGTAATAAGTGCATATTACTACTTTGGGGGTTAAAAATATTAGAACTGTAACAAAATTACTACCAAGTAGGGTTTACTCTAGGAGTGTGAGAATGCCTTACTATAGGTATACATGTATTAATAAAATACTTCATCACATTGGACTGACTGTACATTGCTCATAGGAATGGTAGGTTTGGCATACCCAAAAATGAAATAATTCTTAACCCTCCCTACCATCAAAACTTTCCTAATATTCCTGACCTTATGTCATTATTATTTGTTGGCTTTATGCCCTGGTATCTATAAGTCATGTGGGAAGATCAACAAATACTAACTGAAAACCAAATGAAACATTACCCCTCTCCCAATCCATTCTACTTATATACTCCATCTCTTATCCTCATGGATTATAGGAGATTTAAAATTCCCAAGAACATGTGTCCATGTTTCTAGTGTGTGCTGGTGAGTATCAGGTTCTGCGTGTGCATTAGGGACACATCTGGCTACGTGGCTCCTTGTTCTCTGGTCTGCATGGTTTAACTGTACGTCCACACTGAGGGAGGGAGACACACCAAAGTGCCAGGCTACCAGATTCCTGCAGGATTGGTGTTCTGTGATGGTGATCCTTCAGGCAAACATTGTCAGGATGGGTGTTCAGATAAAAGTGAATTACATTAAGGCAGAAATGAGTAAGTGAAATAGTTTTAAAAGTCCACTTTAAGCTCAGTATTGTGAAATCAGCCACAATTACGCCAGCAACATAAGTGTGTGCACGGAAGGAATTCTGTGTCCCCCAAATACACAGAATGTCCAAAAAAGCAGATATATTTCATTGTAACTGTCATAGAATAAAAACATAAGTTACATTACATACCTGTTTAAATGATAAAGTGAAGTATAAGTATATATGTAAAATAATATAAAAAGATAAATTTTATTGGTGTTTTCCCCAAATATTACTATTTTTACATTTAAATCTTAAAATATTACTATATAATGGTATACTTAGTAGTTACCTATGTCAGTGAATTACATAATTATAAATATATGTATATAGGGTATATATATATGCAGTTTTTAATACAGTTACAATGGAAATATTTTCATTCAAGCAATTTCAGTGACAACTAGCTCTTTTTATAACAAGTCACTGGCCTGATATTGACATTTTTCCCAACTGCCTTACCAAGAATTAGTTGTCAGTTTCAGTAAATGATGACAGTGAACTTTCTCCGAAGGTCGGCTAATGTCATCAGGACTGGTCTTTGTGAAAAGATAAAGATTATGGGTGTCCATTGCAAATTGCTTAACATTCTCTCTGCCCTGCTCCAAGCCTGTCTGTATCTCCATAGCAGCTGAGGCTGGCAGGCTGGGCAGAAGATCAGACAGGATGGCAGCTACTCATTCATGGGTACTTTTCTTGTTGCTGCTGTTACTGAATCCACAGTAAAGAGGACTGGACATACCCCTTCCTCCCAGTCCCTGAGTCTGTCTTCAGGTTGACAACAAAGGCTCTGTCACCTTTTCCTGCAGGTGTTGGATGGATCCTGATGTTTGATTCACTTTTGTGCTTTGCTTTCTTTCCTGCACGGCTGGAATATAAATAAGAAAATTGCTGCTGGATTCATGGAGTGGTATCATGTCTCCGGCGTTTCGTATCATAACCAAATGAAGTTAACAGTACATTTAGATTTCTGTCGAGGAGCAGAAAGTTTAAAAAGCTTAGGAAATTATCTTAGTTAGCATTACTCAGGTTATAAGTTAAATGCTTGATTGTTCATTTGTGATGTTGTTATTAGTAGACGTACTACAAAGGCGAGGTCAAACTCACTCACGTTAGGTGAAGAGTGTCACACTCGTGCATGGTCGACTGAGAGCACCATGCGCAAGACTAATGAAGCTGGAGGAAACGGATTTGCATGAATAAAGATGACTGAGGGGTGTCCATCCTGCAGCCCTGTGGACTGCATGAGGTCCAGGGTGGTTATGAATGTGGCCCAACCCAAAATCATGAATTTCCTTAAACCATCATGAGATGTTTTTGTGATTATGAGTCATAATATATTTAATATGTGGCTCAAGACAACGCTTCTTCTTTCCGTGTGGCCCAGAGATGCCAAATGGTTGAATACCCCCGTACAATACTAGGTTACTCATTTTTCACTATGAAATATTTAAGTAAAATTTTTAGCACCTTTTGATTTTATAGCAAACATTTTTTTTCCCATTTGAAATTAACAGGTATTTTTACAATAGAGGAATGAATTATAAGGAAGTTATATTTACCTGCTACTTTTCATTTCAGAGTCAATCACTACAAATGAATCTGAGCAACTTCTAGCCTATTAACCAAACAAAAAATTAAATAGGGGACATGGTGTGGTATTGGCTAATTATTTTCTGTTTTAAATTGCAGTACATTATTTAAAATGTTCAGACAGGGGATACAGGATAATCAACAAAAATATTGTTACAATTAGATGTCCACTAAAAGCAAGCATTTTAAGTCAGCTTTTAAGAAATATTACTGCTCAGTCACAAGACAACGTTAATTTTCATTAGTATAAAATTTAAAGATCACAGAATGCCTACTCATATCCACCAACTCTAATTATTTATTTAAAATTCTACCTTAGTAAATTCTTCTGCAAATACTTTCGAATCAGGATATCATTTAAATAGTTTAACTGAAAAGATGCATCTCCTTTAAAATAAGACAAGATGGGATATTTTGATTGGGAATGTGCTGTATGGGAGCACATTCTTGGATTTAGTTTATCAGAAAATCTGTGCCCATCATTAAAATCACTTCTGGGCACAGACACAAAATAATAATTAACTGAAATTCATCAGTTACGGTCAGGGAGAAGAGGTGGTTTTCACATAATAGTGACTCTGAGGACATCTGTGAATGAAGTAAGATAGCAATCTATATTAAAATGGATTATAGTCACTCGATAGCCTCAAATCCTCGTGTGGCATGTTGCAGCACACACAGTTCTAGGCAAAGTAGCTAATACATGAGAGAAATAATGGTTATGCATGATGCAAATCGAGGGTGTCTCCATGCTAATGCCATCCTAGCCTCAAGATTATATAATAGAGTAGCAATAAACTATGTATCTACCTATCCTGAAGGTATATTTTTGACTTCAAAATAAAACTGTATCTGGTTAATGTAGAAAGAACTTAATAATTATATTTTCCCGAGGGAGGATGTACAATACAAGATCCCAACTATTAAATGTCTTTTCTGAAATGTGCTTCAACTTTCAAACACACAAGGATGGGAAGTGATGTGCCCCGTTTGACATTTTTCATCGTAACGCACATTTCTGTCTGCAGCATTTGTGGAATCCAGCATCTGGAGCGAATAGGCAAGAAGCTGAACCTCTTTGACTCCCTGTATTTCTGCATCGTGACCTTTTCTACGGTGGGCTTTGGGGACGTCACTCCGGAAACATGGCCCTCCAAGCTCTTTGTGGTGGCTATGATCTGTGTCGCCCTAGTGGTCCTGCCCATTCAGGTAAATGTCGCCATGGAGAATGTTCTCTAAATGGGGAGTCTTATAAAACTGTGTGTTGCATGTTGAATAAAAAATGTAGGGCAGTATACTCATCTAGTGTCTTACATGCTATTATTATATGTAGTCAATTTATTAGCATTGTCTCACAAAAGAAATTTTACATTATTATTAGACACTGAGAGTTTTCCCCTTTCACTCAAGTCATGGTTTGCATCTCATTTCAACTTTCCAAGATGTTTCTTTTAAAAATTGGGCACTTATCTATGACAGGAGCAGAGGGTGATATGGTTTTTAATCATAAATGATAGATCAAGGAACCAAACTTGCGAAGGGTTGATTTCTCTGGACTCTTGCAATGATCTAAAAGCCAAACATCATAGTGAGCAAAAATTGATTGCACGTATTAGTCAGCTAAAATGAAACCTGAAGATGATATAGAACTGTTATGTGGCATTTGGGGTACTCACAAAGGGACAGAGATATAAAATGAGTCATAAGATGAATCGCTACAATCTCCTGATCTTTCCTACAAAGGAGCTTTGGGTGTGCACGGGTGGCCGGTTAGAAATGGGAAGTGGCAAATACAAATCAAACCTGTACACTCCATTGCAAGCCTTGGCCACAGGCTGTCTAAACATACTTCGTGTACTTATAAAAATGATCTTCCCACCGCTGCCCGATCCTCATGACTCGCCCCCCCCAACACCCTCCGCAACCCCCTCCACTTCCTTCACATACCAGCTACCCCACAACTGGGGTGCAGCCCTCTGGGCTGTGGCTGGGAGGTTGTCTGACTGCATGAGATATGGGGTGACCCGGGCAGGGGAATGAGGAAGGAATGTGGACGAGACGCTTCTCTTCGACTTGGCGTGTGACATGTCATGGCTGCATACTCTGTTGGATGTGTAGCAGAGGCCCGAACCTTAATGCCTTGTCATGATATCACAGGAAAATCAGATGACTTTGTTTCCTTAGAGCCACAGAGAGCCTCTGGGTAGCACAGAGACCTCCACAGAATCACCTGATAGGGGCTGTTGAAGGCACCGGTAATCTGGGTCTCCATGTAGGGAATTGAGGGCACCTCACAAACAAGGAATGGATGGCAGTGATTTTAACTTTCATGTCCTGTGTTTTCCCTTCACATGTGAAAAAATGCGTTCCAGTTTGAACAGCTGGCCTATCTGTGGATGGAGAGGCAAAAATCGGGTGGAAATTACAGTCGACACAGAGCCCAAACGGAAAAGCACGTGGTTCTGTGTGTCAGCTCGCTGAAGATTGACTTACTCATGGACTTTTTAAATGAGTTCTATGCTCATCCAAGACTGCAGGTACATTTTGTTATGTTGCACATCATACCAGATCCTACCTGCTAACACGGCCAATGTCAATGTGAGAAAGCGTAAATGAAGAGCTACAAATATAACCAGGAACACAGAAAAAAATGCTGAAGGAATACCCGGTATTTTAGTTTCTTTCTGTACCCACACTAAAAGACGAGTGGAATTATGTTAATGCTACCAAGAAAGGATTCTCTGAATTAAAATGATTGACATTTTTTCTCCCTGCAATAATGCAGAAAGGATATTTTTATGAAACAGTGAAATTAAACAAAATATAATAAAACCATGAACAAGTCATTTCAATATCATCTGCTCACTTGAACCTGTCAGTTTTAGCAAGTGCCACTGATTCAGACAGGGAAGTCTGGAAGTTCTATTCTTTCCTGCAGTATAACTAGGTCAACTTTATAGTAGCAATAAATGACCAAAAATGGGATAATAACTCGTTGAATTAAAAACATGGATTCAGAAAAATCTCTTCATTTGTCGATGTAGATAAAATGCTCACATACTCCTTGTACTTGCCACAGGACTGGGCCACTGTAAAGTAGGTAATAGTTGCTGCTTAAGGCACTAAGTTCAGTCCAAACAGCAAAGAACTACTTGAATATCTTGTTTTTCTTCCATAAATTTGTGTCACAAAGTTGGACGATCCTCAGATCAAAACAGTACTGAGTATATCTTATCATTTCTCCTTGAAATAGACTTGTTGTCATCAATACTTTGGAGAGCTCTTAAATATAATTTTTATATATAAAAATCTTATTTATAAGTGGTACCTAAATTATATAATATATTCTTTTGTTTTCATATAAATTAACTTGGATTATTTGGAGAAGCTCCATATTTAGTTGTTGGGTTTTTTATTTTCAATATTCGATAACTTCAGATTTTATTTTAATATTAAATAACTCTATAACCTATAAAGAAAATCTATTTGAAGGAAAATTCTGATCCCTGGTAACTTATTGATATTATTCTAAAATCAATATGGAGAATTCTTAAAACTTTAAAGAAGTTCACTAGATATATTTTAGAGTGATACATGATGACTGCTTACCAGAGAATTGTAATCCTGTGGATTGGTTGTTTTAAACCATCTCCTTGCAAATAGTACCGTTATATTTTCTCCAAAGGATCCTTATTTTGAAATATTTGATCTCAAGGTCTTTAATTACTTCATCAGCTTTATCGATATTTTGATGAATCCTTATCCATTCAGATATCAGAAAACTTTCAATATTACCAATGCATCATGTTACCAAATGATGTAAATCACCATCACAGTTTTTATTCTAACAGTACATGTTTGAAGTATGAGTTTCTACCTAAGCTTTTTAGCCCGACATGTTATGTATACTTTAGAATTAGCCTAAAGATGAACAAATCAGAGACTGGAAGTGCGTGCTGACTATAAGCACGAATCGCCTCCTCTTCACAGTACTAATAAGACTGAAAAAGGTCAGGAGGGAAGTACTGATTGATGAGATTCATACATCTCAGTTATATTTATGAGAGTCGTGTTTTATTCGTGTAGATGCAAACTTTTCGTCTCGGGCTATAGATGCAAACTTTTATTTGCTAGCCAGACTTCACTTCTAGTTCATGATCTTTCAGAATGTTGCTCGACATTCCTCGTGCCTATGTGGTGTAAGACTGAGCAGGACTGGTTCTCTTCCACTGGCCTCTTTGTTCGCACAGGATTATTACGTGGTGATTTTATGTCCTACGGAAATGGACGTGCAAGTTCGAAGGGTGCTGCAGATCCCCATGTGGTCACAGAGAGTCATCTACCTGCAAGGCTCAGCCCTGAAAGACCAGGATCTGCTGAGAGCAAAGTAGGTACCTGCCACCCCAGTCATTTTCCATCTGACGGTGCTTGGTATCATTTCCCTCCTCCAAATTTGCACCTTGTTCAGTGTCGTGAGGCGAGTGGGAACACTTTGGAGTGCAGAGTTTTGCCTGAGTCCCAGTGCTGGCCAACTGCAAAGGTTGAAAACATGAAATCAGTGTGCTCTGGTTTCTCAGTGCAGAGGGGTTGGGAGATTGAATCTACGTGCCACAGTGACTGCGGTGTGTATGGCTTGTTCAGGAAGTCGGCAATGAGCTGGAGACGCCAGGGAGGCAGGGCGTCTGATAAACAACCTCCATGGTTTCAGAAGGCAGAGCAGATTCCTAGCAGAGGAGGCTTTGCCTGGTGTTTCCTGTTGCTTTTAAAGGTTTAAATATGTCTTCATATTTACCCTGGAGTTGTAAGGATGTACAACAAAACCCCTTTTGTTGCAGGCGATTGATGAGAACAAGGGTTAAATTCCTACGACATCTTATCAATGTGATAACAGAATGATTTTGAGCAAAACAGAATGATTCAAGGTCCCGCAGTACAGGAAAAATCTATAGTAAAAATCATTACCTGACTTTTTTACTACTGTCAGTATAAACTACTTAGCTATAAAGCCAGTTCAACAATCTTATTTATAGTCAGACACAGCCATGATCTTGAAATCCAACTTTCAGTTCAGTGTCAGAGGACTCAGAGTTTACATTTAGCAGGCGCCCTTGGACTAAACGCTGAAACCAGGTTTTGCAGATGGCACACGGGCATTTCAGTGTGTGATCACGTTGTTTTTCTGTCCACACTCAGGATGGACGACGCCGAGGCCTGTTTTATCCTAAGCAGCCGCTGTGAGGTGGACCGGACATCCTCCGTGAGTCTCTCAAATCTCTGCTAAAAATTGTTTTCTTTTCACCTTTACAGAGATTTTTAAAATTTCGATTATGTTTCATCTTTCAGCACCAAATACTGGTGACAGTAAAATTTTCCTAAGAAGAAGCAAATGCTTTGAAATGATCTTTGCCATATTGTAAGTTTAACAGGCTCATAGACAGCGTCAACAAAGGTTTTTTTTGAAGTAGTTTGTCCTAATACTTGGGTTTTCTGTTGATCAGAGTAGAATCAGTCATGTGTATATACAAGCGAGACCATTTTGTATTTCATACACCTTGTGCTGTGTGGTTTTGCCAAAATGGTCTCAGTTTTTTCAAGTTACAGACAAGGCACTGGGTCAGGGAGTCTGCATTAGAATCAGCTGAGAAATCACTAAAATACCGGCATGTGTGAAAACTCTGTTCAGAATATACAAGCTGGAGATCGAAATATGTGTCCTCTAAAAACATCCTAGGTGGTTTTCGACCACATCTCCACTTGGCAGCCTTTGGCTTATGTGACCTTTATGATGTATATTGAAGCCTAAATTTCTGTGTTTAATTAAATTAAATGGTAGTTTATCAAATTATAACTTCTATTCTTAATTGTATCCTTTCAATTTTATTAAGTATAAGAAATGCTTTATCATTTTGATGAAGAGGCACCGCTCACTTGTGCCTCTTTCTACGGCCATGAGTCCATCTCTGGCTGTGTCTGGGGTCTACAGATAAATGAGTCACTGGTGACTTCCACAGTGACCGTGACAAGACAAAATACTCCTGGGTCTTTCAGGACATGCGAGAGGCTTCCCTTTAACATTAACTCAGGACTGTCAGTCCTTAACGGGGGAAGGGATTCTGTGGTCCTCACCCCCTGGCCTGAACTTCCCAGTCATGTTTCTACCATTGTTTAGCCTGTGTCACCGTCAACCTTGTGTTCCTCAAGCGGTGACTCCATGTTGGGACACTTGCAGTCTTCCAGGATCTGTAACGTTTTTGAGTTACAAAAGAAGCACTAGGAAATACATGCCCAACATCTTTTTTTAAAAAAGATTTTATATATCTATTTTTAGAGAGAAGGGAAGGGTAAAGAGAGGGAGAGAAACATCAATGTGTGGTTGCCTCTCATGCGCCCCCAACTGGGGACCAGGCCTGCAACCCAGGCATGTGCCTGGACTTGGAATCGAACCAGTGACCCTTTGGTTCTCAGTCCCATGCTTAGTCCACTGAGCTACACCAGCCATGGCCTAACATCTTTTAGAGTACCCTGGACAATGAGGACCTGGGACTTTCAGGTAGCCTGTGCATTTCATCACACCTGACACACTGCTAGACTGACAGGGAAGGAGTGAAAAGACTCCACCCAGGAGGACAAAAGAGGTGGCAGGTGAGAAAATGGTAACACAAGTTCGGAAGCTGGAAAGCAGAGAGAGTGGTAACTGATTTCACAGACAGAAGGAAATTAAAATTCAAGTTGAGAAAGGAAAAAAAATCCAAAAGGCAGCTTTTGGCAATGAAAACTCAACAGTCTCAGGACATAGAGGCCCCAGAAGCCTTCAGGTCGGGTTGTATGTAGGACTGAACATGTGAATGGGGATTAGGAGTCCGTAAGAGAAATGGTCAGAATCTTCGAACCCCAGGTTCATTGCTGGTCACTGCCCTTGCCTTGGGGGAAGAGGCTTGCTATTTGGAGAATTTAATCCGGGAATACCCCTCCCTCTGAGCTACAGGAATTAAAGAGCACCTTGCCTCACTGAGTGTGAGCGGCTTCTCCTGCAGAACCCAGAACCCTAACAGCCAGAGCCACCTCCCTGCTGGCACAAGAGTGGGAGGAATCTTCTCTGGGGAAAGGGTCCATCGTGACAGAGAATGCCACATAGTCATGAGAGGTAAAATGTAGGTCAATGTTGATATCAGGTCTGGAGTTTCTGAAGTGAAGTCCAAGTGTAGACGAGGCCCCACTCAGGTCCCAAACACCTTTCGAGCCCTTCACTCCTCCCTGTGTTCAGACAACAGGGCTCTCTAGACATTGAAGGAAATTTCTAACAAAAAAAATACTAAATGAAGAAACAAACAAAAAGCTGACAGAAAAGAGGAATTCAGGGGAAACATAAGCAAAACCGTGTCATCTGGCAACTGTCAGATTTGGGGTCACCTTGAGCAGAGAGGCAAAGAGAAGGAGTGGGACCTGGGTCCTGGGAACTGAGTGAAGTTACAGGTCTAGATGGACAGAAAGGGTGAAGAAGAAAGACCGGTGTCATCTGAAGCACCAAGAGCAGTCTGCCTGCTCCGTCGTCAACTGTTCTGTGTTCTTGTGAGTGAGGTCTCGTAGACGTGTCTGCAGCCCTGGGGGAACCAGGCGTTAGAGACTTCACCACCAAGCAAAGGTGGACTCCTGCAGCTGTGCTCGGAGCTGGGGAGGCACCATGCTCCCTTTAGGACTCACAGGCACGACCCATGGACGTGAGGATGGGGTGGGGTTGTCCTAAGGGAGTGGCGAGTGCTGTGTGGAGGAGGGCAAAGGGGGAAAACTTGGGACAAGGCCATAGCATAATCAATAAAAAATAATTTTATAAAGGAGAAAAGAAGTCCTGGTTGGTGTAGCTCAGTGGACTGAACGCGGGCCTGTGAACCAAACAACTGTGGTTCAATTCCCAGTCAGGGCACATGCTGGGTTTCAGGCCAGTTCCCAGCAGGGGACACACAAGAGGCGACCACACATTGATATTTCTCTCCCTCTCTTCTTCCCTTCCCCTCTAAAGATAAATAAATAAAATCTTTAAAAAAAGGAAAAAAAAGAGAAAAGGAAAAACTATAAAACCCAGGAAAATGTTGCACTATGCTCAGTAGCTACTGACATTAGCACAGAAGCCCCCATACTGCTGGGCGGTGGGTCTCCGCCTGTCAGATGCTGTGTCTTAGGAAGGGCCCGGCTTCCTCGCTGCTGTAGACTTCGTTTCCCCCAGAGAAGTGGCTTCACAGCTCCTACCGTCCACTCACCCCTCCTGCCCCAGGGCTCAGCTCAAATTCTGCCAGGACAGTAGACCCAAAATGAAATTAAAGTAATGAAACTCTGCTCTTTGATTCACCCAAAGGTTAATAAGCACATCATTTTTTTTTTTTAAATATCTAGGTTGTCTTGCTTCCTTTAATCTTCTTGTACAGACGGCCTTGGGGATGCGGGGAATACCCTAGTTTAGTCATGCGGTGCCCGTCTGTGCTACGCATTTTCTGTGATATTTTGGTTTTCTCATTTCAGGACCACCAAACAATTCTGAGAGCATGGGCTGTCAAAGATTTTGCTCCAAATTGTCCTTTGTATGTCCAGATATTAAAGCCTGAAAATAAATTTCATATCAAATTTGCTGGTAAGTTTAGTCTAAAATAAGATCCTTTGAATGTTCTCAAACTCCCGCTGTGACTGTGAGAATTAGGTCTCTGAAGTTAGTGGAAGCTTATTATACCCATGTTTCTACTGAGCAGAAGAGTGTTTTTTTTTTTATCATCTGCTTGTTATAAGGGAATTTATCCATGTTAAAATGTGACAAGAGAATGATTTGGGGTGAATCTTACTTTGTCATATAATGTGGTGATTTTAGCAATCAAAGTTACTGGATACTTATTAAGCCTGAATTGATTAGCAGTGATAACTTGTGCATGATATAGGCACAGGATTCAAGTCTTATATCTATTAATTTATACTTACATTTCCACACAGATAAGACCTTGCTATAGATTATTTAACATACATATAAACTTACAATACAGCTTAGTAATATATTAAAGTATATTTAAATAAATTTGACTTGGGGGATAGATTTTGAAAATGATTCTAGAAAATGACATAGGCATTTTTTTGTGGAGACATGGTTTTTAAAATAATTATTCCCATGAGATTATACTTTAAACTGTTAGAAACTTAAACAGTAAAATGGCACTTTAATTTTCGCTTGAATGCTTCTGTAGGAACTAACTGTGATCAAGGCAGTAATATGCATTGTTAAAATTCTTCTATTATTATTTATTCATTATTCTATGATTTTTTGAAATTTTTATTCAATTTTGGGAGTTGGCATTGGTTAATAAAATTATATAGGTCAGGTATAAAATTCTACATTACATCATTTCTATATTTGTTCACCACCCCAAGTCAAGTCTCCTTCCATCACCATTTGTGATGGAAGGGTAAATCCCCTTTACCCTGTTCTTCCTCCCCCATCTTCCTTTTCCTCTGGTCATCACCATGGTGGTGTCAGTCTATGAGTTTGGGTTTTTAGAGGGTTAATCTTTTCATTTTCTCACTGAACTCCCATCCCCCTCCCCTCTAACATTTGTCCGTCTGTTCTCTGTATCTGTGAGTCTACACCTTGTGTTTTTATATTCCATCTGAATAGTCTAAAGCTTCAAAAGTAATTAAATGTAAATCATTTTAACTATGCATTATCCACATATATTTTCTTCAGAAGAGGTGTTTACGTATCTTAAAATGATTACCTCATAATAGTTAAATGCAAAATTATAAACACTTTTAAATGCTAATAAGAAAACCATGAAATTATTGCTATTTAATTTGCTCTTTTATTCTTTAGCTTTGAGACTAATAATGCCATTTTTTCTAAAAATGTGTAGCATACAATTGAAACCGATGGCTCTCAACTTTGGCTGCATTTTAGTATCTCTTTGGTAAATTTTCATTAAAGTGCTAATTTGGATTCTGATTTAAGTGGTTAGAGCTGGTGTCAGGGTTTCTTTAAACCTGTTTTCTAAGCTGAAAATTAAAAATAACAGTACCTTCTTTGTGGAAGATTTTGTAAAATGAAAGTATTCCATCTATTTCCTGTTACACAAGTTATTAGCCTTCAGGCAATGCCTTTTTTTTAAAACTAAAAGAACTTTGTAACTAAGCTGCCTTATTATTATTATTATTATTATTATCATCATTATTATTAGGCTAAAGGGATATTTTTGCACATTTTCATCATACTGATAATGCCTTGCTATGGTAAGATTTTTAGGAAGGCAGTAAGGACATAGCACTAGGTCAGGTCCTAAAAGTATGAATTTAAATCTGAGTGCCCCCACTGAGGGTTCAGTCAGGCAAACCTGCATTCTAAGGCCTCTTCTCCTCTCCTGTTAAATGGCTGTAATATACACGATGTCTCTGTTTCATTGGTTGGGATTAGCAATAAGGATTAATTACACAACGTCTACATCGTGTTAGGTGTCCAATAAACACATGCGGAATGTGGATCTTGAGACAACATCTGGTTTGGGGAGACAACTTTAATTTTAAATGCGTTAATAACTAGAAGTCAGAGCAGACTTTGGTTTTTCTTCCCTTCTTTGGCAACTCATTGATTGGCTCACAACAGATAGATTAAAATCACTGAAATAGTTTCCTTTATAAACAGAAAACTATGAAGACTCTTCGTACTGATTCTCTTTCACATTCTTCTTTTGCCATTATTTTGACAAGCTCATTGAAATGAATGGAATATTTCAAAATTCCGTCCCAAGAGTTTATCTTACTGTTTCTCACTTACGGCACCTGCTGAAATTTATTTTCACCCGTGTTACTTTCTGGTTGAAATTACATCTTGGAGGGACTCTTTATTTTATGAAAAAATGAAAGCATCCAATTTTATTAAAATGCCATAAAAACAGTCTAGGGTGGTGTATGAGACTCCAAAAACAATATCATATATTTGTACCTCAGCATGGGATTAAAAATTTGTGAAGTTTACCATTCAAAAGATGGGGTTTCAAGCCGTCACTTAGTTTGTGGCATGGATTGGTGAAATAACGGTCACCGATGGACCATGCTCCCTAGGTCTGTCCCACTGCCACATGACTTGGCGGCTTGGTCTGCCAGGAGGTGAAGTCTATTTCCCCAGACCTGAATATGGTGTGTCTTGTGACCGGCTTTGACCGATAGAATCAGATACAAGTGATGTATAACTTCAGAAGCTAATCCTCAGTGGACAGGGCAGCTCTACTTTGCCTTCATTACCTCCCTGCCCAGAAACTGCATCTAAAAAATCTTGATTTAGCTTTTCAAGGATAAAACATCCCAGGGAAAGAGGGGGGCATTCTTCCCGGACACCCTACCTCTCTGGCTCCCAACTAACCTGCCAGGCAACCCAACGACCATGCTGACCACAGTATTTGGGGAAGTAAAATAGTGGTCGTTGAAGTCACTACATTTTGGACTAATTTGTTATACAGCAGTAGATAACTACTATTGTTTGTAATTATGATTTTTGTCTTTGTAACCCCACAGGTATTAAATAGCATGACTCTAGTTACCACAAGATATAAAATATGTTATTTCTAGTTATTTAAATAGCCTTTTTAATTCACCCTAAGTTGTGGAACTTTTATCGTAACACTGGTATATATTTAAAACATAAATGAATGTTTTTAATAGGTAGAAAAGAGAAACTTCAAAATTTGACTTATTGGAAAGCAAAAGTAATGTAGCAACCTAGCAACTATACTTTGTGCAAATCTACCATTCCTATTATTTAAGTGTCCTTTTCCCCTGAGCAAAATGTAGACATTTATTAAAGTATTGAATCATTACACTATCATTTGAATAGATGGCCATATCAATTATCATACTATTAATTATAATTAAAATAATGATCTACACTTCGATCACAGGGAAAAGGTCCCATGAACATGCCTTCAGCAATAGAGAAGATACACAACCCTTATTTTCACCAAATGTGGAACTAGGAACCCTAAAGATAGACAGAAAGAATAAAATCTTTAGCAAGATAATAATTATAAGAAGAGATTGCTGCATACGAACCCCTGTACACAACAAATCATAATGAGAGTGAAGTAATAAAAAACAAACTCAAATTGACTCAAAGAAAAACAAAGCATGCTTCCAACAATTTGTCCTGCTTAGAATAAATTTGTCCAAATAGAGAGATTAATATTACAAATTCTAGGAAAGAACATCAGTCAAAATCTTTGTTCTGCTGTATATTAACTGCATGTCTCAGGCTTTTTAATGTCTCCAAGCCTGAGTTCTTCAAAGTAGAAAATGAAGGTAGTAAGAAAAACTACGCCTTAGGGTTGTTAGACTCTCATTAGTACATCAGCCGTTAGTAACTGGTACCTACTGAGTTGATGATTACCATTACTCTCAAATACCCACTTTCCACTCTCCTAACAAATTTATATGATTCTTGTTTGCAGCAAAAGTAACTGAGGAATGTCTGTGATATTTTACAAACAACTCATTAGAGATATTCAAAAAGCACATAATTCTCAGCATGCCCATATTTTACAGAGAATAGAAAGAGAAAGATATCTCCTCAACTCATTTTAGGGGGCTAACATAAACTCTATATACAACTAATCAAGGGTAGCATGAGAAATGATAATAAATAAATTAATTTAACTGATGAACATTGTTGAAAAACTGATAAAAATATATTAGCAAAATGAACAATGTTTATTTTTTATTGAAAAATAAATAACCAGCTTTAAATTATTCCAGAAATAGATCATCATGTTAAAGGAAAAAATATATTAACATTTCAATGGATATAAAAAAGTATTTGAGAGAGAATTCAATATCCACTCACAATTAAAGAAAAATAAAAAGAAAGAAAAAGTGTTAGAAAAGTACAACTAAAGAACACCTTAAGGCAAGTTATCTACAAAATAACCTTGGGAAAAACTGTATTGATCACATAATGAAAGTCTCCCTTTACAGCCCTGGCTAGTGCAGCTCAGTGGATTGAGCACAGGCCTACGAACCAAAGGATCGTGGTTTGATTCCCAGTCAGGCAGGGCACATGCCTGGGTTGCAGGCCAGTTCCCAGCAGGGGACGCACAAGAGGCAACCATACACTGATATTTCTCTCCCTAACCCTTCCCATCTAAAGATCAATAAATAAAATATTTTTAAAAATCTTTACAATTAGGTATAAACAAGGGTGCTTGCTGAGGCCTCTTTAACTCAGCATCTCCTAGGAAACCTTAAGAAGTGCAGTAAGGCTACAAAAATAAAGAAAAGAAACAAGCATTGGAAAGCAAAAAGGAAGCAATGTGTTGCCATTGTCCACACAGTAGATTCTCTGCTACTGCCGATGCACCTTTTCTTTCAGAGAGTTCATCCACTCGTCTGATTTCCAAAATCAGACCTCTCCCCCAGTCCCCACCATGGCCCCAGTCCTGCCTCTCCCTACACAGTCCGTGCCTCCGTTAAGTTTCCAAGAGCGGTCTCAACATGAAGACATCTAGAAATAGCTGACTTTCCCTAATGTTCAATCTGTTTCTCCCCCATTCTTCCCAACACCATCTACTTGGAACTCACGCCCAAAACCCAGGAGTTAGTCTTCCGTCTTCT